GCAGGATCGCGGCGGCCAGCGTCTCGGTTTATCGGTGAGAAAAGCACAGAACTGTATAGGCGAATACAACTGTTTTTTTTTGTTTGTTTTTCTTTTTCTGTTTTTAATTAGAAGCAATAGTTAAATTTCGAAAAATCAAGGGGAAGACTTAACTGGAAGGAAAATAATAACTAGAGCTAACTCTTCACTGGTGACTTTATGCTTTAAACCTCTCACACTTAATGCCAGAAGGGAACTTCGAGGTTTACTAAACCAAAGCCAGTCCTTTGAAATAGTTGGAAATAAAGGAAATCTGAGGCACATGGAACATTTACCCAATCGAACATCCACTAAGCCATAAAGCAAGCCCAACACATTCAGAACACTGAAACCATTCAGAGTATGTTCTCTGAACACAATAGAATGAAGCTAGAAATAAACAAGAAAACTAAGAATCCTCAAATGTCTGGAACTGAAACAAAACACTCCTAATATTTAATGGATTAATGAAATCACAATGGAAATGAGAAAAATCTGAACTGAGTGATAAAGACAACATACAAAACTTGGGGTGCAGCTAATACAGTGCTTAGAGGCAAAGTTATAGTTTTGTTTCTGGCTATGAATCATGATGCAATTGCTTATTTATAATAGCAACAGGGCAAAACGTTAGTTTTGCATCCATATATGTAGAACCCTTAGCCTGTTGTTTGGCATACAATAATCATCATGGTACGTATTTATTTGTTGTTATTATGTTAGTAATATCGAAGTTTGAGAGGCAATAAGTTCTGAGATTTGAAGCCATTCTAGAATTCTTGTTCAACCATTTACTAGCTGTGCAAGTACTTGTGCAAATACTTAACCTCATTGTATCACTTTTCTTATTTGTAAAATAGGGATAATAATGGTACTTTGTGTTGTGAGGATTAAATGAGTGAATCCATGTAATACTTTTAGAAAAGTGCCAGGCATATTGTTAGCACTCAATAAATGTTAACTATTACTAGAGTTCAAAGGAAGATATATTAATAGATAAAACTGGAAAGATAAATTGAGATATATCCTCAGTGGACTTAAATGTCATGTAAAGGAACTGAACATTTTTCTTTGAGCTATAGAACTAAACTAATATTTGAGCGCATTAAACTAATAATGTGTACCTAGTACATTACCTCTGCTGCAGCTTACTGTGTACAGGAATTCTCATTTCCTAGTGGAGGAAATTCATGCCTCAGAGTGCCTTTTGAGAGGCTCCGTCTGCGTGTATTCTTGCTGGGACCACATGTCATTTCTTTGTGGCCGCTGCTGATCCAAAAATGAATCAGTGGCCCATGAGATGTCCTGACACAAATGTCCATATAAGAGCGACAGTAATTAGCTTGAAAAATCAGTTTCTTTCTTGGGAATTTGACCTGGAGGTATGGAAAGAGAGCCTGTAGCCTGGTGTTTGACATGAGAGTAGCAAGGTGCCCAGAGATCATAAGAGACAGAGAAAGTAGCTGATTTTTGGTAATGGTGGGATACTAGAGTGAAGAACTAAGAATGGCAGCTGCTTTGATTGTCAACAATATACCCATGAAACCTGTTGCAAAATGACTTCTGGAATGATTGCAATAATTTATAACCCATTTCAGTTCTCTCCAGTTCATTTATGTGGTTTAATTTTTTAAATTAAGCACTCTTTAATACTAAGCACTAAAAAACCCTACTTATGAAATGAATGGATAAATATGAAAAGAGTGATAGCAGTAATCCTTGTCTGAATCCTAGAAAGCGAAAAAGTTCTATGAGTTAAAAAAAAGTGAAAGAGCTCTTCCATTCAGGTCTGTAAGACAGTGGAAGCATGAGCGACACTGCTTTGGGGTACCTCTAACAGATAACACAAATGGGAGTGGGCACAGTTCCCCACAGATAACCATGGCATTTTGGCACTTTGAGGGCTCTGGCTGTTTGGTCATGATCTTGACAGAAGACTTCAGCAGCATGCCTGGTAAAGGAATAACACCTGTAGGAGCTCCAGCACCTGGTGATAGGTAGGCGATCAACCGCGGCCTCTAGCAGGAGACTTCAGTGTCCTTCAATGATACATACAAAGGATAGCTGAACCATCCAGTAAGAGATAGTGGGGAAATGGCTGTGCCCCACGATGAACACTTGTGAGACACATCTTGGGTTTAAGAGACTCTTGTGCTGGTGGGGCGTGGGGAGGAAGTTCTAGAGGAGCTGAAAGTCCTGCATTCTCACGTGGGCCCAAGAGCCAAGAAACTGAATTTTTAATGTTGCTGTGAGTCATTCTGTATCTTACAGGTATATGCAGTTTGGGAAAACTTGGATTGTGCCTTGTTTTATAGGATAATTTTCAGTGAGCTGGAATGAGAGACTTGAGGGCTGCATGGAGCACTTAGGTGAGTGAGATATTTTTTCTTTTTCTTTTTCTCTCCCCTTCCCTTGCCTTCGCTTCCTTCCCTTCCTTCCCCTCCCCACCCCCTTCTTGTATACCTTTTTTGCATTTTTTACAACTCCAAACATGTTGGAGTGAGACTCACAGGTATTAGAATGGATACAACATAGAGGTTTACATTTATTGAGTTCCAACTATGTGCCACACATTTCCTAGACATAAGAAAACAAACACGAATACAACATCTTTTAGACAGTCATCTTTGCAAATTTCAGCAGCATTGACATTTTGGCTACTCCCTCCTTTCAACTCTCTTTTTGGACTTTTGGGACAACTCTCATCTGGATTTTTTTTTTTTACCTCTCTGGCCTGTCCATTTCAGGGGCCTTTGATAGCTGCTATTTCTCTACTTCACATTTAAACCAGGGTGTTTTTCTTGATTCTTTCTTCAGTTTTTTTAATATTCTATTTTTACTCTCTATATAATTTATGGCTTCAGTTACTATTTTTAAGCTGATGCCTCAGAAATCTATAGTTTCAGGCCAGATGTCCTTTCTGTATATCTGAATTCATAAGTAAAATTGGACATAGAAACCTGAAATGTTAAAAATGACCTCATTATCTTTCCTCCTAAATCTGTTTTTTATTTCTAAATCCCTATTCACTCAGTCTCTTAAGCCCTGGAGATATCTCATCTCTTGGCCCCATTTTATTAGCACCCTCCTTTCCTTTCTTCCCCATCACCTCAACCAGTTCCTCACCAATGATTTCAACTCTTCTGCCTAATTATGCTGATCTGAAAAAACAAATGTACAATAACAGTTACTTTAACTACACCTTCTTTAATTCTATACATTACACCCAAGTTGCTAAAGAAAATGACAAAATGGCATGGATTGGTAGGTAGCTCTACAGATTCAGTTTACAATTTCTATGGAACTTTCAATGCTACTTTGGATATTTTAAGTGTTTGCTGGATACCCTGTGTTCCCCACCTGCCACCTACATTAGCAGATCACCTCCTTCCTATTTTCAGAGAAAATAGAAATCAGAGAGTGGAATGTCTTTAACTTTCTGCTGCTAGGCCTCTGTCTCTAAGCTCACTCCAAATAAAGCTCCTTTCCTTTCCTCTGGCTCAGTCAAAATGACCACTTTAAACCTCCTGTTTAAATATAGCCTGCCACCTATTTTCTAGGTTATATTCCTTTTATTCTCCTCATGGATATTACTTCGTTAATTATCTTTCTCTTGATGTATCTCCAACATTCCCCTCTCTATTTTTCTTTCCCTTTGGCACACAAACATATTCAAGTCTTATTAATTTTAAAGCAAACACATAAAAAGAAAAGAGAAAACCTCTCTTTTTGCCCTACATCATTCTAAACTGTAATTCTCTCTCCTTCCATCCCCAGCCACACTTCTAGAAACAGTAGAAACAGTAGTGTACATTGTCTCCATTTCTTTTTTTTTAAAATTAATTTATTTTTTATTAAATTTATTGGGGTAACATTGCTTAATACAATTATATAATTTTCAGGTGTACATTATAATTTGACATCTCTGTATTCTATTGTGTCTCCATTTCTAACTTCTCTTGTTTCTTATCTCACTGCAATCTAACTTTTGTTCTATAGTTTAATGAAACTTCTTTTGTCAGTAATGCTAAACTCAGTGGACACTTTACAAAAAAAAAGCTTCATCACAAAATAAAAATACATACATGCATACAGACAGACAGACAGACAGACACACACACACACACACACACACACACACACACTAAACCATAACAAAAAAGTAGGACTTTGCCAACTACTCCAGTATCTCCTTCATGTTCTGTACCATAGTCTCACCCTTCTTCAAAAAGTAAGCAATGTCCAGACTTTTAATTATAAATGTCACCCCCTTGGGTTTCTTGATGGTTATTCAAGTGTTCATCCCTTGACATGGTAGTTTTAGTCTGCCCAGTTTTTAAAAACTCAGTGTATCTTTTAAGTACTTTTTTTAATGTAGAGATTCTCCTCTATTCCTTTCATTGCTTACAGTTTATCTGTGGAAGAACTCATAGAGTTTCATAGTCTGGATTCTGCTGTTTGTAGAATCATGATACAGCCCAATATGTCACTCTGTTCTGTATTTTCTGCAAATTGGCAATGGGATCCAGAGGCATAATAAGGCCCCTGTTTGATCTCTTTGGCAAGATAATAGGTGGTAAGGTGTTTTTTTCATCTGGAGGCACATAATGTCTGTTTTTTGTTCTTTCTTGATGTTGCAGCCATTGATATTCAATGCCAAGATCCATTAATTCATGGTGTTTGCAAAATACTGATAATAAATTCTATCATTTTGTTTCTAAATGTTAACTGGAATAATTTTCATAAGTATATATTGCCTCAACTACTATTTGGTTATCTAGTGGTACAGTTCATATAAGAAAAGCAAGATAAATGCTTGATTCTTTCATTTTATTTATCTAGGTTTTAACATAGATTTGATTCCCTGTTGTCTTCATGAGGTAACTAATTCAATTAAAAAATTACTTAGAACTCATGAATTTAAAGATATTTGATCATTTTTAATTTAGTGTAGTTCTTGTCTTCTTTGGTGCTCAAATTCTTTCATCTTCCATCAGTGGGAGACTCTTCAAGTTGGCCTCTGAGTTCTTCTGACATGATCTTAGTAGTCTCTCATAGCTTTTTTTCTGTCTGGTGTGTCCTGGCTCATGTGCATTTACTGCTCCAGATTTGTAATCAATCATTTCCTCAAAAAACTTTTGTGGTGGGATGAACTATAGCCTTCAAAAACATATGTCCAAATCCTAACTGGTACCTCTGAATGTGACTTTATCTGGATATGTAATTAGGTTTAAGATTTCCAGATCATTCTGGATTTTGGTGAGCTCTAAATTGAATGACTGGTGGTGTCTTTATAAAAGAAAGCAGAGGAAGATTGGAGACATGCAAGCACAGAAGAAGGCCATGCAAAGACAGAGGTAGAGATTGGAGGTGTGTTACCACAAGCCATAGAACCCCTGGAGCCACAGTAAGCTAAAAGAGACAAAGAAGGATTCTCCCTCAAAACCTTCAGCGTGAGAGTGGCCTACCCTACAGACTTAGAATTTCTGACTCTCAGAACCCCAAGAGAATAAATTCCTATTGTTTTAAGCCACCAAACTTGTGGCAGCAGTAGGTAAATAATACAGATTGGGTTTCCGCAAGAGGGGTGCTGATATAACAAAAGCTAAGAATGTGGATGGGGCTTTGGAATTGGGTGATGGAGAGAGGCTAGAAGAATTCTGACGTTATATGATAGGAAAAGCCTAAATTTCCTTAAGGAAGTGCTCAGTGGAAATATGGATGTTAGTGGCAATTCTGACGAGATCTCAGAAGGAAGTAAAGGGCGGTGTAGTATAGAAAGCTTCTGTCATCTTAGAGAATGTATATATATTGTCATGAACAGAATATTAGTAGAAATGTGAATGTTAAAGTTTCTTTTGCTGAAGTCTCAGAAGGAAATGAGGAATGTTATTAGAAACTAGAGGAAAGGCAATCCTTGTTATGAAGTGTGAGAAAACATCACACTTCATAAGGTTGTATGGTGCCCCCCACCAATATATGCCCTCCCAGAACCTGCGAATGTGACCTTTTTTGGAAAAAGTCTTTGGCAATGCAATTAAGTTAAAGATTTCAAGATGAATTCAGCCTGGATTGGGTTAGGTCCTAAATCTAATGACATGTGTCCTCATAAGAGACAGAAGAGAATAAGGCTGAAAAACACACAGAGAAGACCATGTGAAGATGGGGCAGAGATAAAAGTTATGCTGCCAGAAACCAAGGAGCACCTGAAGGCACCAGAAACTTGGAAGAGACAAAGAATTATTCTCCCCTAGTTTCAGAGGGAGCATGATCCTGCTGATACTTTGATTACAGATGTCTGGCCTCCAGAACTGTGAGAGAATAAATATTTGTTGTTTTTTAAGCCTCCAAGTTTGTGGTAATTTGTTACAGCTGCCCTAGGAATCTAGTATGACTCTGGTTTTCTTTAATGCAAAATAATATTTCAAAACCACAATCTGGGTGCTAGGTATACTCATTGAATTATTTGTATTTAAAGATTAGATACCATATGAGTTCACAGTGATTTTCCAATTAAATTTCATCCTATGGGGTTTTCACTGAGAATCTTGGTTATCAAGGATGCATGGATGATCAAATTATAAGATCACATTACTTATTCCTTTTATCTCACATTATACATGCGATATTAAATTGCAACTGGTATTACCACCACCAATTATGATTACTGAAAACAGTTATTTTTTTTGCATATCCTATGCCCATTCTCTCCTTTCTCCCCTTTTGTTTTTATAGTTGTACTGTATCTCCACTATTAGATCATATAGCCATTATATACTATACTCTTTCTCTGAACCTCATTTAGTTCTACAAATGGCTATATATTTAATATTACTAGTCCTTATGGTAATGACTTTTAGCTGTCTCTTGCTTGTTCTTTATGAAATTTTAGCTGTCTCTTGGTTGTTCTTTATGAAATTCCTTGGAAAAGGCTGGTGGGAACAATACTCTCTGGGTTCTTATATGTTGATAAAAGTTTGTTTCCGTCCTTCCTACTTAAAAGTTAATGTCTTTGACTTAAGTGTTCATTATGTGAGTGTCTTAAATATGTTAATAACTTTAAATTACTTTATTTTTCAATTATAATTGACATACAATAATATATTAGTTTCAGGCATACAACATAGTTATTAGAAATTTATAAAACTTACAAAGTGAACACTCTGATAAGTCTAGTACCCATCTGATACCATATATATTTATTACAATATTATAGACTATATTCCCTATTTTGTACTTTACATCCCTGTGTTAATACATTTTCAATAACAAAGCATTGTTGTAGAGTCTGATGATAATCTAATTTTCTTTTTCTTATAAATCATATGCTCTTTATATGCTGGGAAGATTTTTTTTAAGATTTAAAGTT